GTGCGGCTGAATTAAATTCAAACGATTTGGTGGCATTATTTGATAAAAATATTACTTTCAACAATCAAGGAATAATTTATTAGGAATAAAACAACTAGACTATTAGAATTCATAAAAGTTAGTTAATCTAGTAGAATAATGATATTTTTGCATTTAATTCACTACAATATTTTAAGCATCATGTGTCTTTTATTTTATTATAAAATGTTGTAACTTCCTACTTATTAGGCATTAATCTAATTTATTAAAATTGTATATTCTAACTATTACTTCGTTTTTTCTTCAAATTACGTAGTTTGTTGATTGTCATAATAATTACTATTTTGTATATTGAGCACGGCCCGTTGAATTAAATAAGGTGATTAATATGTACTGCGGTTAAAATACTCACCAATTGTTAACAGTACTATAGCTTTTAATAAATATTATTAAAATAAAAACAGGTAAACACTACATACTCATTTTAGGTACCGGTTGTGTGTACCAAAAACGATATTGTTTATGCAAAGCTTCTTCAGGAGTTTTAGCTGCTCTTTGTTGAAGTGAAAAGACTTCCATTGCTTTTTGAATATCCTGCAAAAAGTGGGAGTTGTAATAAGTAAACGCTTAGATTCAATTTTTTCCAAATAAATTGTTTGCAACTACCTGCCTTAAGAAAATAATTAAAACTGTAATTTTGCTCTTGGAGACTATTGATAATGATATAATATTTTGATTTATAAACAACCATATAAAACAATTATAATGAAGAAATGAAATCATTTGATTTAGATCATTAACAAGTTAACTGCCACGAGACCGCCAACGGTCACACGATATGTATTATTGACACGCCAATAAAATTATCTGTCATTAAAAATTTGTACAAACTATTGTATTTGAAAAAACATTTAAAAATATAAAAAAATAATAGGTAGGTATGTTTATTAGATCCAAACAATTGTACGATTCCCACTACGCCACTGTGCTTTCTACAGTAGTAATATTATAAAAACAATTTTTATATGCAGAAAATGAATAAACAAGACACAAAAACACTGATATAATCGATCATTATTTAAAATAATATCAAACAATTGTTGTTTTTTTAAAAATATTTGTAAATATAGGTGTTCTAGTCCCTAAAATAATTCTGTTATTTAATTATTGTATTCATTATATATTCACAATTTGAAATTCCAATTATTAAGACAATAGATACTAACTTGAATAGAAAGAGTATTTGGCAGAGTCGCTTCGTCATTAGATCCGTTCAAACCATTAATTTCTCTCTTGATAGGGTTTTTACGACTCCTATTCCGCTTTCTAGAAAACGAATACAACATGAAAAACAGGAGTGATTTCTATGAGCTTATATTTCTAGTTACTTTTTAGTTTTTTTGACTTCAGTGTTTGCTTGACGCTCGTCGGGAATTTTCGGTGTTTCACTCATGATGATGTTTAAGGTGTAATGGAAAGTGTAGTTTTAAGATGCCTTACCGAAATGTTTACAAGTAGGATAGAAGCTAAGAATCAATAAACTAGTAAAAATTTAGAAATAGCGAACTAAAAACTAAAATTAAAAATAATTTATTAAAATACTCGAAATGTTGGAGCTCAGAAAGAAAAAAGCATTATCGGCATTCGGCATTCGGCGTTCGGCGTTCGGCAATAAAATTAAAATAAATGTATGATTCTTTTTTAATAATCATAGGTCACGAGGTTGCATAACCTGGTTTGTGGGATTCTATTTGATAAATGATAGTAATCGATATATAATATCAACGGATTTTTAAGATCGAAATCGTAATATTTCACAATCGATATATTATACTGACATACTGTTAATAATCTGTATTTCCTTACACATTACAATGATGAATGATGATCAATTTAACATGTTTACATTACAAAGCCCCACGACTGGAATACAGATTATTACACCGTATTTTTTTAATAGTAGTAGAGAGCTTAATTATACTATATATATATATATATATATAAATTATATTATACTATTTTTATTATTAAAGCTCTCTAGGTAGTAGTAACTATGGTAATGCGTGCAAAAATAATAAAACCACAGAACTAATTGAACTAAAAGATACACAATAAATATCAATGTGTGGGAGTACGAAATACAAATTTAAATTGTAATCGTTATCAATTATGAACTAAAATAAAATAATAATAATTGATAAGCCATATTTAAAATTATTTGTGCAAATCTTAGATCATAGAGTATTTTACCTACTCTATGGTTCAAACTTCAAATACCATATAATCCATCAAGTATCGATAACATATTATTAACATGTGTAGAACTGTAGAAGCACATAGACATTGGTATAAAACAAGTAATGGCTATGGTAGAGTACGAACAATTAATTTTTATTTATTATTATAATATGAAATACAAATAAGCGCCCATGTAAACTTTTTGATTTTTTTTGGGTGGTGTGATGAAATTGGTTGCCAAAGGCTTAAGGATAGACAAATAAACAATTTAGAGAGTTAGATAACACTAGGAGCGCTGAGGTCACTCAACAAATTGAAGTAGGATATAAAGATTTCAAATTTTCAATATTTCATTATATACAAAACTTATAGCTGTATATATATACTTTATATGCTCAAGGCACCTCCAACCTGTCCTTTGTAAAATTTTTTTTGAGTTCAGAAAAAATGTAAGTTGAGTTGCATTTCATTAGGTTTTGGTGTCGCTGTAATATTGCGTTGAAACATTCGAAACCTTAAAGTTAAAATAACGCCCATTTTATGCGTAAATGCTTGATGTTATTATTCGAAGTTTTAAGTAAATTGTGTTGGCATCATGGCCCTACGATAATTAATTGCACCGAAAATAAGCATATATCATAAATATGATAAATTATTTTGCCACATTGTTCGTGCACATAGTCGGAATTTGTGTATAAGTAAAAAAAGACTGGTTGGGACGTAAAAAATCATCGATTTCTAAAATTAGTCAAGTGTATTCATTTGTATACTGCGTATCTATAGTCAATACATGTTTTACCAAAATCAATTGTATGATGGATAGTTAAGTGTAATACATCACTGAAACAAGAGCTGATAGGAGTTGATCCTTGATTGTGCGTAGTATTAAGGTTCATCACTGAAGACTACATATCTTATATTTTTATTTATTTTTAAACTTTCAGCATCAAAACAAGTTACAACTATCAGTCTTGAGACTTTTTATAATTATTTTTTTTTTCATTTTCTAAGCCACTACAATAGCATTGTGTTTAATTAGGGACGTGGTTCTCAACTGAACATTAGGCAGGACCACTATTGTAATATTTCCTTATAATTAAAAAACTATCTACCTTATCCATTCCAGGTAATCCACCTAGACGGCTTAAGCGAAGATGGTGCCGAGACCTTCTGTCTAATAACTAAAACTAGCTTACCTTAAAACTTAAGAACACAAAATTAGGTAGTACCACCAATGGGTGGTTTCTTCCATCAAAAATTCATATGTAAATACCCTTTGCACATTTGCTTATTGTTCTAGTTAAGAACAGATTGTAAATTTCTTGTAAAAATAAAAAAAAAAAAACAAACCACTACTTAACTCCACTCCCCCCATCATTAACAGTATTTTTTTATAACTTATAATTTATACATACTCAATAAAATCAGCAATACAGTAAATGCTCTTGAAACATATGCTTTTATTTATTTAAAAAAAATAATACAAGTTTAGGCTATCAATAGGTACTTAATTAGTGTAACTTATTAGCACGTTAAAAATGTTGTTTAACCACTTAAGATGACTCACAGACCAGTTGGGAACCACCGAATTAATGTAAGGTTTATAAACTATTTCCAAAAGTTTGTTTTTAAGACGTAAAATCTTGTACATGTTTCTGATTAACATAATGTAATATTAATTAATATTAATATTTGTCAGTCACTTAAATTTTTTAATTATTAAGATAGATGCTTATGTTGTTAATACAAATACACAAGGCTGGAAATTAACAAGTTAAAAAGTTAAGTTACTTTTAAGTTATAACAAATTTTTTTTTACAGATACTTCAAACTAACTGGTTAAATATTTTTTCATGTTATGCAGTAGTTTTAATGAGTTTAATTAATTTTATTGCCATAAGTTAATTTTTTTTTAAAACCAAATTAAAAATAGGTTTTCTCTACATCATACAATCAGATATAAATGTTTGCTTTTTTTTCACTCTCGTTGTGACGAATATGATATAATATATCACCTAACACCCAACTCAAGATAGTCCTAGATATGCCACTAGTTGTATATCTAATTCGTCTATTGCCATTTTTGGTCATCTATTGTAAAAAAATATATGAAATATGTTATGAATACAAATTATTATAAATTATAATTATAAACATTTTTTTCAATGGATTTTGGTGGGTTTACTTGAATAGCAATTTTAAAAAAACCTTAAAACTTAGTGATATTTTGTCTAAGACAGACTGCACATTTTAGAAGATTGTTATTGACTACAAGAGATTCAATTATTATTTTTTAAATAAGTTTTTATTTTGTGTTTGGCCATACAGAAATTAATAAACTAACTTTTTTTTTATAACAGTAGTCAAAGTCAATAACATAAAAGATTCAGTTTTAAATTGTTTTCAAACATTTAATAGTTTATAATAATTGTTCATTATCTTAATCAATTCACTAACAATCATTCAAAATGATGAGAACATTAATAAAAAATGTAAGTGTTATAACCAAAAACTCTAGAACTTATGTTATAAGTAATATGAACAGTTGTGAAAATATTGAAAAAATCAAGTCTGAAAATGAAATAAAGAAAATTATTTTTGACAAAAGAGAAGAATATATACAATTAATGATGACTCAGTCAGTTGAATGTAATGATTTGTGTAATGAAATTAATAAATTGGAATCTAAACTAAGAGCATCATACGGGTTCAGTAATGATGAAGATCTAACACGTTTTCCCGAAATCAAATTTGAAGAACCTAAAATAGAAAATCCACTTGAATAGATCGAAAATGTATAACCGTTTATTACCAAAGCATGTTTAACAATAACTAAATAATAATTATTTTTTTCTACACTGAGTTGTCTTTTCTTTTCTCTTTTTCAAATGTTTTTTCAATTTAACCTTCCGCTTATCTGCTTTTTCATCTTTTACTTGTTTTTTTCTTAACTAAAAATATACACCATACATATACAAATAGAGATATTACAGATAACTTGGTATCAAATATTAAAATCTTACTCGTTTGCTTTCAGCATCTTCATTTTTTGGTCTAGCAGAATTAGAAAATTTACTCTTTTCATCAGAATTAATACTCTCTTTTTCTGATGTACTACTATTAGTATCAGAATCATCATCTTCTAATATTGCTGGTGTATTTTGAGGTCCAGATAAATCGTCTTTAAGTCCAACAATTTTTTGATAAATCAAATCTTCACTAGTTTGACCAGATTTGACCATACTAATATCCCTTTCAAAATCAACAACCTATATTCATTGAAAAATATTTAACAAAAATTCAATTTGATAAACAATTTTAGATATATTGTATACTGTACTTCATTTAGATTTTTTGGTATATATGCATTTTTGAATACTTCTTGTTCAACCATTTCCTCATTTGTTAATGGATCTGAGTTGACCATATTTGCTTGAAGACGATCAAGACATGTTTCCATATTATCTAATGTGATGGTGGGATCAGTGAGGAAGTCAAATAAACATTTAATAGTTAATGTACCAACATCATGGTGACGGAAAAATTCTGAAAAAAATGTTCATGTATCTCAATTATCAAAAATCTATTTATTATAAGGCAAATTATTTACCTGTTATATTCGTACAATCTTTTCGAAGGAATTCCAAAGCATATGGATGTTCATGTTCAACAGCTTGAGATACATCTATCATCACTATTTCGCCATCATTATACCTATAATTGTATTTATTGTGATTGTTTATTAAGAATATTAAAAAAATATATATATATTTACAATAAATTAAACTCGCTAAGATCAGCATGTACAAGTTTACAAATGTTGTATAGTTTCCACATAATTATTAAACAATCTCTATAAAGTTGGCACGCTTTAGACGTAGTCAAACGAGCATCCTGTTAAAATAAAAATATTATAAACAGATAAGTACCCAAAGAAAATTTGTTAAATATATCCAGCATGAATACTTTTAATTTTGGAGCAGGCCAACCATCTTTACCGATAAAAGACATCATTAGAACATGTGATCTTAACAAAATTGGTTGAGGTACTGGTAGACCAGCTGCATACATTCGAGCAAGATTACGCATTTCTTTTTCAGCCCATAAACGTACCATTTTTCTTGGATTATGCCTGCAGTAACCATGTCTAAATCTATAAAAGCAAAAATACAATAAATTTATGTTACAAAAGAGAATCTTTAAGTTGATAATTTCAAATATTTTAAAATATTCAAAAATGGTAACTTATATTGTCTAAATAATTAACTTTTTCTTAAAAGAAATTCTGAACAAGTTTGGAACTGTTATAATAAGTTTCAATTTTTTTTTTAGCATAATTTAAACATTAAGTGCTTATTAATAGTGTTTTCTTCAACATACACTGGAGGGTAAAAAAAACAGGAAAATATTAAATATTAAAAATTAATGAATTCATCTTAAATTTCTAAAAATATTATTTTAAAATAATGTTCATGGCTAACAAAAACCTATTTATGTTGATAGTACATAAATATACTGTACATACATAAATATAATTTAATCATCAAATCAAGTTTTAAATCTGCAAAATAATAAACTAATTGGGTACTTTTGAATAGGTACCTGAATTCACCGGTAACATAACGATCACGATCTTTGAACACCAATATTGATGTCTTAAATACTTTAATAGCATAATGTTTTTCACTATCAGTTGAAGTTGAATGATACACATTGGCTTCCTTGCCAGTAGATATACACCCATCAATTTGTCCAATCATTCCTCTGTTAAGCAATTTAAATAGTATCATTCGAGTTCTTGGATCCATAACTTGTTCAGCTGTAGCTCTGTCGCACTTGTCTTTATTTCTAAATCTAAAAAATTAAAAAAAACATTTGACTTGTAATGTAAAGTATGTAATGTAATGTCTTAAATATTAATAAACTATACCGCATGGCATCAGCTTTTTTGTAACTTTCCATCAGTTTATTGGATGCTTCATGAGTAAGTACAGGGCCTTCATACGGATCTGTATTTACTTTGTCTAAATATTTTTTAAATAGATTGTCTGATGGTTGATAATCACTAATTTTAATGTTTTTATTCTGTTGGTTAGGAGTAGTAGATTGAATTTGAGCCTTAATTTCATTTGCACCTTTTTTACTATAACATCCTATTTAATTAAAAATGAGACATTATAAATAATAATTAACCTATTTTTTCTCACTTATTACCATTATCAAAAAGTGTTTCATCGTCACTGCTGTCGTCTGAGTAATCAGTATCATATGTATTTTGATCATTTAATAACTTACGGCCATTATTATTAAAAGTCATTTCACCAAACAATTTAGATATGTCCCCATTGTCATTAATGACCAATCTAGAAATATAAAATACATAATTACATAATACATTCAAATTTAAGTATAGTTATGCTTAGTTTTTGAATTTTATTTTTAATGATGTGGGAGGGGGAAGCTTTTACTCTATGGTTCATCTTCAACTTTTATTTTATAAAAACTCCCTAGGCTCTGTAACATGACAGAAGGATCTAAAGGATTATTCACCCCACTGGTTATTTTGAACTCAGGTTTACTAGGACTCTAGCTTCTATGCTCCTATAAATATTAAATCCTAGTAATGACCGTGACCATGATTATAGGTGTGTTACAGGTGTTGCTATTATAATACTTAGATTCATTTTTTTTTTTTTGGCAAAAGCTGGGTTATGAGTGAAATCCTAAGAAAAATATCAAATATTTGTATTAATCATTGATATTATGTTCTTCTGTCCAAACTTATGCACTAAATGTCACAGATGAAAATTAATAATGAATTGGAATATATGAAATCAACCTATTATAGATCTATATTATTATACGTTACCAAAGTTTCCAAAGTTAAATAATTGTAATCATAAAAATATAGGTACTTACGGGGAATTGTCATCTTCTGCATCACTGAACTGATGCATTTTTGACGACGGCGAAAGTGCAAAGCACGGAGGTTATTTTCAGGTACAACGTAAAAACTTTACTACTAACTTAGTAACTTACTACGTAGCACAAATGCACAACAGCACAAGACTCGAGTCTCGAATAGGCAGTATAGCACGATAGCACGTGTAATCGTATCTATTCTATAATTATTTATCAACTATCAAAATAAAAAGTATAAGCACTGTTATCAATACTGCCATAATATGATAACCAAAGATAATAAAGGGACAAGAAAGTATTGACAAATGGATCTCGCAGGAAAAAACATTTCGGAGCCGTATATAAAATTGCCTTTATAGTACCTATATAAATATACTATATAGGCCACTTTTCAACAATTATTTTCATTATAATACGTATATTAATATTAATATTATATATTTTAACAAACATAGGAGTAGGTCTATAGCCTAAAATGGGAGTATTATTTATTTATTTCTTAGTAGATAAAGTAATAATTTAATGCATATCTATAATATGATTATCATTTAAAACTAGTATAATAAGAAAATCCTTACTAAACAGTGCAAGTGATGTTTTAAGTGTCCATTCATCTGACAATCATTCTCATAGTGTCAAAAAGATGAATATCTTAGTGTTATTGTTAAAAACCTAACCTATTATTTGCATAATACATTGTGTATTTCTCAATTTTAAATAACAGACATACCCTTATACCAGTAATATACCGTATAGAACTTTGAATTACCTTAAATTATCGGAGATTGAACACAGATTATAAAACTATAATAGTATATTATCTCAATATCACCAATTTTTAAATGGGCAATGGCTTAATTTCAGAAAACATTTAAAAACCAGTCACAATATATAAGAATAATTTTAGAGTACCTAAATTAATATTTGAAGGCATGCTACCTACCCTAGTATACTTAGTAACTAGAAATAATTAAAAAATTATGTAGTTGCAATTCATAGTAAATTATAACTATCTCTAAATATCAAATTCATTTTCTAATAATATTACCTATTTTTTATTTTATACTATGTGTTTAATACAATTTTGTACTACTGTGAAGTGTATAAAACAAAACTTACATAGTCACATCCCTACTCCTGATTCCCATGTATGATGTATAACAAAATATTATATTATATTATAATGAAAATAGTGGCATCACTTACCATAATTTGTTAATTACAGAATAGATATATTCTATGCCAGCTGTGTAGTGTTGTTAAATAACAAACTGGATATAATATATTTATTATTTGTGGTGCATTATTCCAATTATTTTGTTTCATATGGATGGAATATCAGTTATTCAGTTCATAATAATATTAAAGACATAACTAAATAATTATATAATTTATAATTTTTTATTTACTTATGATTAAAGATGTATACATACAATTTTTGTCTATAAACATTTAAAATTAAAGTAAAAATGTTGATAAAATTCATCAAAATCACAAAAATTTCCAAATTATTTGTTGTTAAAATTATATAGTTATGAATTAAAAATGTAATGAAGGTTTTTGTAAGTAGTTAATATTGTAACCAAAAAAAACTTAGATTTAAATATTCTTACAGTTTATTTATAGACATCTTAAGTTCAAATTTGGATGAAATCAGACATTTAAACAGATAAATGAGAATAAAAATATTATATAGTTATTTCATGGTAATTTAAAAATATTTTTAGCGAGTACTTGAAACTTTTAAAGTAGGTATATTGTTAAATTGTGTTCACAATGTTAACAGCAAGAATTAATTTAACTTACTGTAATACTATAATTAGATATCAGCTTATTTTTCATGATAATTTAATTTAAATATTGTTAGTCAAATATTCTGTTTTTTTAGAAAAAATAATCGAGCAATAAATAAATATACAAAATTGCTATATTTAATTGTTGTATGTATTTTATGTTATATGTATCTTTCTTAGATAGTTAGATGTATATATATATAAGCTGTAAACCCTTAAGAAAATAATTGTTGAGCTAAAATGGTTTCATACCAGCAGCTAATAAAAAAAATAAATAAATAAATAAATATAGAAATTAAAATTGAATTAATTAGTTTATTCTTAATGTATATCTTTTTGTATTTAGTCCATTTTCATATATATGATGCCACTCATCTTTTGAAATTATCATCTCCCCTCCTTTGAAATTACATTAAAAATATTCTCCTTTAATATTTAGTGATACATTCTTAGAACCCAGTGATGAATGCTTCCCAAAGCTTTTATTAAAATAATCAAATGTATAACTCTTTATCAAACTTGAATTTGTTTTTTGTTTTCCAATCAGTAAATTAAATCAATCTAATTATTTGATTCAAGCAAATCCAGTAATAATATTTATATCATCAAATTCATCTGATAACATTTATTTGAAGAGTCACAAACACATAGTTTGAATCTTGGGGACTTTGTTACAACAGTTGAACAGTACAATATCATAAGAACTTAGAAGTGTCAGTGTCCAATATATTCTCTACAATGGACTATGATATGATAGATGTTACTTACATAATGTCCTCATTTCTAAGTATCAACCTAAAATTACACCTGTTGGATGTCCAATATTTTTTCTTAACCATCACCTTATTTGGCGTTTTTTCCTTTTACTGTCTAGCTTAAAAATGTTGCCTAATGTTAAAGTTAATTTATCATATTTTTCAATGCATTCACTTTCCTCTGAGCAGCACCCCATCGTATTCCTAGTTATATTTTATACTGTCTTATTTTTCTGGAGCCCGAGCTGCCCTTTTATTGAAATACTTAATACTTATTAACTATTTATATATACATTTCAGATTTTGAGTGATGAATTGATTTTACAAAAGTGTATTTTTTTATAATCTGACAGAGGCAGTAAAAATGCTTGGATTTCTACATCAGCATTTTTCTAGTAGGAAAGTGAATCCAGTATAATATATAGTTGGTACTTCTGGGGCTTAGTGGTAAAAAATTCCTAGTAGTTTTTAAAAGTGATTAATATTTTTAGATATACCAATGACAAGTAGGAGAACTATACTATTATTTTTCCTTAAAATATTCAATTTTTTTAAATTTGAATTTGATATGAGTGGCCGTGTGGGTTTAAAAAAAAAGTTATTGGATTTATGGATTTAAAACCGTTATAATGTAATAATATTGTGTAATTATAAAATACTATTGTCTTACTAACAGGAATGTTTTAAATAAAATCAGAATCATATGTAAGTATGTAGCTAATTGATACATTTTTATTTAAAAAAGAACACAAATTACAAAAAAAATCTTCTTCGACTTGTTTCAATTTTATGTCTTTTATCAGTCATTATCCACCTGTATTCACCACATTTTGGATCGTATAAACCCTCTTGAAGATATTGCAATCTCAATGTAAACTTAGGTCCCAATTCTCTGAGATATGGTTTATTTTTTAAAAACTTATATCTGTGATGCCGGAAAAATATGTAATCTCTCTGATTATGCATTGTCACAACATGTCTGCCTTTAAATTCTGCGTCTTGATGAAACACTGCACCTAACATACGAGCTACAGTTTTACCTAATCCTGTGGTAAAATTTGTAGTGATTACTTCTGGCCTATGGTCAGTAAATTCTTTGCGTTGCCTTTTGTTTGGAAATATAACATTACTTAAACGAAAATATGCTGTTGGTCCCTCAGGTAAATGTACAAGAATTAAACCATTAGGTTCATTACGGTCCTCATTTATGATTATTAAATCTGTATATCCTTTATTAATAGCAGCTTGAATTGTTTCTTTTACAGAAGCGTCACGACGAAAAATTCTAACAGAATTAGGTACAATTTCAGTTAAAATTTTACCGAATTCTCTTACCTTCCTCAGAGGTTTTTCCTTGTATGTAATCAACACTTTAGGTTTATAAAGGTCTGAATAATAATCAGCAAATTCATCATGTTCAAATTCAGCTGCTAGATCTTGTGTTTTTTGATCATAATCTTCATCATCGGAGTGGAATACTGTTGAATCTGGTTCCCTGGTGTTTTCGATTGTTCGAGGCACTTGCTTGGGATCACCACTAGCTTTTCTAAGTTTTCTATCTCTTTTTTGAATTTTTTTTTTATTTTTTAAGTCTTTTAACTTTTCTTGTCTAAGTAATCCTCTAGGTTTCTTTCGAGCTAATTTTGGTAACTCTGGTCCTGAAGGATCTTCCTAAAAAAAAAATACACACATTTGTATAAATTATTAATAAAAATGGCATACCATAAATTATGTAGATACAATATGTTATAATAACTAACGCTCAATATTTTTGGTTTTACTTTTTTGTAATACCTAAATCATTGTATATGAATTTGTGTCAACTACAATACTTAATTAATAATAATGCATATTTAGTCATTAATTGCATTTTTAAGTTGCTGTAATAGATATGTTAAATATGAATTCAATGATATAAAATCATTGTAAACAAAAAAACGGTTCAGAGCGAAGACTGTTTGTCAGTCTATAATATTATTAAGTATATTTGATGATATTGTTGTGATTAGAGTAGTTTATTTATTATTTATATATCAGACTCCTTGTTATACATTTTCAATCATTAGCCATAAAAACTGAACATTTTATAATTTTTTAAATATAAAATATATCTAACTGTAATAATCACCAGTTGACTCCACACAGAAAAAATATTATGTATACTCTGCCTCAAAAGATAAAAATCAGTTGGCCGACCGATTTACGTCAGTTCTGCGCATTTCCCACCAACTTCAGAGTGATAGAGTGATCACTAGGCTCTCAAAGAGCCAATCGCATCATTCACAATGAACAAAAAATGTTTGTTCTTTTTTTGAGACAGAGTATAGACAATACAATGCTAACATAAAAACTTGTATTAGACAAATTAATAATATTATGTTGATAATAAAAATATCTAGTAATGAAACTATAGATGTATGAGGGAGCCAGGAAAGTTGATGCACATTTTATTAAACCTAACTAGACAGACTTGGAAAAATATTTTTGTTAAACACAGAAGAGTTTGAATAAACCAACCAATTTATAATTGTAGATTGATTGACTTATTATTTGATCCTGATTTTTATTTATATTCAAATTTAACACATTACACATCCATATAGTGACCAATTAAATGAATGTACACTAGAAACCTTCAATAAATTATTATACAATAGAATTATTAATGATAACTCAATTGGCGCTAGAAAATGTTTATAAGGTAAATGTAAATAATACATATATTATATATTACTTTTAATAACATCTTTAAATTTTGACATTTTTAAGCTTTTGATGAATAAACATATTCAGAAGATTTTTATTTAAGCTATTGGTACCTACCTATTGTTAATAGTTAATGCCGCCAGAAATAAATAACTTAACAAAAAAAAATTACTTACATTGACTTCATTTTCTGGTTCTATTTCTTTTAAATCCATTTTTGACAAGCGAAATGGTTAATAATATTTTATACGTCCGACGTCAATCAGTGCACTGGTACACACCACTCAGTTCTATACTCTAAAAATAGTAGACTATATAACAGAAATTTATTAAAAACAATGCGTGAATGCCACATGCGGATGCCGATTGCCGACATCAAAAAATTAATAATTATCAATGATGTTTTCATAGATAATGAAAAATTAGAAGGCCCAGTCCGTCGTCCAGTGTTGCCGATATGTGCGTAAAGTTGGCAATTGACCCAGGCATTGAGATAAGGAATCCTCATTTCGACTTGGAAGTTAGATAATAGTTAATAAAAAACAGTTCATCTAATTTTAACAGATAATTTCTGTAATTCTGTCTATGCCACTATTCTTAATTCTTTTATGCCATTCTTACTTCCGACACAGATCCTTATATAGATTCCTCTGCCCTTAAAAATCACCTCGATTTAACTTGTACCTGAGCAACTATGAACTAGATAGCGAGTCAAAATAAACCCTGAAAAATCATTTCGTGTTCCATTCGCAGTTCGCACTCACGAAAAAAAATCTCCACCCCTTCAACTGCAAGGTGTTGATATTCCTATTACACTATAGGTAAAAAATCTAGGGTTCGTAATCGATAAAAGATTAACATGGGGCCCACACCTAAAATCCAAACGCAAATTATTAAATAATTGCCTACACATACTTCGCCCAATATTAGGTACGGTCCAAATTTTCAATAAATTCAAAATTAACAATATATAATTCTCTCTTATAAGGCCCATCTAGCCTTATGGCTCACAAATCTGGGAAAGCTCCAAACCGTCCCAAATACAAACCAAGCATTCCAGTCCATATCCTTCCGTCTCATTGCCTCTGTGGTATATCACAAATAATGCACTCCACAAGAACTTAAAAATCCAAACAATATTACATTAAATTCACAAAAAAACTACAGCGACTCCAAAATCCTCTTAGATCTCACCCATCCTCACTTACACTATCTGACAACACCCTGGTCGCCTTAAAAAGCACGTTGTCGAGATCTTTTATGATATGATAAAATTAAAAAAAAATCAATAGGCCATCTTAACAAACACGTTAAACATGTTACCACATTTACTCGTGTTTTTGTTAATACAGATTGTAAATTTTCTAATAAATAAAAAAAAAATGCTTTAATCCACAATAGCACTGAATACTAGTAAATAGTAAATTATACTCTATACGATTTTTAAAATTTCAAAGTTCTAATTTTATTATTTATTTATTATTAGGAAAAAATATCTATACAAAATATGTACACAACAAGAATGATATTATGTCATTATGGTGGTTACTGGTTAAGAAAAAAAACAGAACTTTGGTATGAGTTGATATGATGTCTGAGGGGGGGAGCACCCAGTGAAGCTATTGGTACCTACTGGCTACTTTGGTTTACGGAAGGATGGTTAGAAATTAGGGAAAGTTTAGAGAAGATATTTTCTACCCCATATTTTGTTTGAAGATAGGCGGACAAGTGGTTTATATTGAGGTTGATGTAGGAAACTAGGAACTAATTTCGTAAGTCTATTCCAAATTCTAGTGATATATGTAGAACAAAATTGGGTAATTAGTTTGTACCTACATAATAAAATATACCGGATTAATTTAAAAATTTATATCAATTATAATAAGTATTAAATGTATTATTTATTACCATAAACCTTATACTAAGTTAATATAAGACTTAGTATAAGATCTATGAATAATACACACATTTTTTATAAAAGTACCTAGGTATCCAATTGATTAGTCAATAGTCCCCTGGCCCGAAACATCAAACATACTATATTGTAAAAAGCTGGTAGTAGTGTAGTACTACGGTAGCCCTAACAAAAAAATATTGTAATGCCCCGAAAAAAAATCCTGGCTATTGCACTGAACTAAATTATTTAGTAATTGGTTTTATTGTTAAAATAAACAAACTTATATTATTATAAATAACTCAAGACAATACATTCGCAATTTCTAGGTAACAGCGCAAAACAAACAGTTTAGTCGACGGCAGTCTATTAGAGAAGACATTTTTAAATCTATTCACTCAAAGCTAGTTTTTAAAAAGTTTACATACCTTTCAAAACTCTTAATAATAATATATTATATATAAAATGGCAAAGAAAGTTGGAGGAGACTCGGCCGAACTCAACTACGACATGAACTATAATTTGTTTCTTTTGAAGACTTCTATGCAGAACTTGAAAACAGCACAGGGTAATTGTATTATATAGTATTTATAAGTATAAGGTGTCCATATTGTAATATAAGTTAAAGTATAGGTGTTATATAGGACATAAGTATACACATTTAACATTTATATTTTATTACGGTTCGGGACACAAATTCTGCAGACTGCAATTGTATGTATTCATTAATTGTTGTATTCGTAGTATTCACTGCCTCGTCACGTTATAGTCTATATAACCATACTCCATTGTACGATGCCTCTATTTATCTTACATATCAGTATAATATACGTATTTATTTAGGTATTTACTGCCTCTTTATAATAATCGTTTTCACGTCATAGAAAAACACAACGTGAACCGTTGGGTGCACAAGCTGTTGGCGAGCAATAAGACGGTCGCCGAGATGAAGCTCCGGAACGATTTCATGTTCCACCTGGTAACGGCCGTCCAGGAGGGCGAGATCAAAGCACCTTTCAACCAGTATCCGCCGTCGTTACCGCTCAGCAGTCTGACGTACCTGCTGACCGGCAGCTCACCCAGTTCTAGCGGCAAGGACGGGAAAAAAGGTGCTGGCGCTTGGGAGTGTGACCAGTCCAGCGAAGACACGGAAAAGCCCATGTTGTACAGACAATCGCCCGACGGCGGAGCCTTTTTAGCCGCACAGCCTGTGCCAAAGTGTGGCGCGTTCTGTTACTTGGCCGTTGTCAGCAAGCCACCGGCAAAAGACGACAAGCCCAAGCTATAAAAGCGGGACCTACCTACTGTGTATGGTACATATATCTATATATTGTACCTAAAATAAATATGATTTGTTAACACATTCGCTTCAGTATTGTTTTTGTTGTTGTCGTTCGAATGCGTTATACACTTTATTAAACGTACTTATTTGTGGGTTAGCAGTTAGCAGCCGTAATAAAAATGATAATGAAGAGTAATTTTGGCGATGAGTTTCCGGGCTCACGCGCTATTACGTTTGAACGGTTTTTATTGTTTTATAATTTATTTAAATTGAATACAATTTTCGACAACTTTATAATTCAATAGTCAATGGTTTTTTATAAGCGTTTGAAGTTCAATATTGTTGACTAAATTCGTAAAAACCACGAAAATGTTCCTTTTTTTTTCAAAATTTATAAAATATTCAATTTGTTTAACTAAAGCTTGGTTTAAATACAGAGTCTTTCCAAGTAGTTCACACTGAAAATATGGGTGATCACAATTTTTTTTTACAGACATTTGAAGTTCAAATTTGGACAAAATTTGATATTTAAACAAAGAATAACGATTTTAGTTATTATTCAAAAATTACATTTGTGGGTACTTAAAACTTTTCGTCATATATAATTTTTAGATTTTATACATAAAATTAATTTTTTTAAACATTTAGATTAATCTTAAGCTATTGCTAGTTTTTACGAGGCTTTTATACCATGAGACACGAACCTATTCACACCGTTAAATCGGCATCTATGACCTATATATTGACTCAAAAGTAACGATAATGTTAATATAATATGCTATTATTATGTATAATAATTAAATATTATAAATCCAATGTTTTCGTCAAAAATTAATTCAATCTGAAGTATTACCAATAGGAAAATAAATTATTATAAGGACAATATAATAGTAATTATATCATAATTCATAGAATAAACTTGATTTATAATTGAATTCAAATTTCACACACGCCTATTATATTACAGACACTTACTCAACTACGGGGTACACTTGACACCTGCTGTACAGCAAAGCCTTCTTCCCCCTTTTTTATACTTAGATCTTGGCGTCATTAAATTATAATGTGGATTGTGGAAAAACATTTACAATTTGAAACTTATTGTACATATATTATTGCAGACTTAATTATAGATTCAAATATGTGATTATAGTCATATCATAATTATAAACTAAAAGTCTAAAAACGAAAAATACCCGCAAAACGTTTTATTGACGTTTTACAGTAGCCAATAGTCAGTAGGTAGCTAACACGATAAATCAATTTGTGGACGTAATATGCATATCATTTATAATAGGCACTAAAGTAAAAGAATATTAATTGCGAGGTTACCAATTCGTACAGTTCTGCAGTATCAGGTGTTATAATAATATGTTGATATGTATTGTGCAGGATCAATATAGGTAATTGACACACGTATATAATTTATGGGTAGGTATAAATGTAGTATTTATTTGGTTATACATATTTGATATTACCAGCTGCAGGCTTATTGGTTTAGGTATTCGTTGTTAACTGTTGTTATGATGATTATGTTTATGGAACTAAAATATTAATAAAATAAAAGATGGCATACTGCGGGGACGGAAGTATATAAAAGTGTACTTTTGCAAACTGCACTTAGCAGTCTGCACCGTATTATATTCTGACATAATAATATATTTTGTACCACGTACGTTATTTTAATATTTTATTTGTGGAAGCACTGTAAATATGGCGCCAGCGGGAAAACTAGGAAAACTTACACTCAGGCGGGGAAAAGAGGCCTGGTAGAAATCGATTTTCATGTCACCAGCTGATATGGATGATAATCAGAAAGAAAAATAGTGATGTGCAAATATTTAATACTCATTTCACATTCGTTCGTTATTTCGTGTTATAGTATGCTATTTTTAGTTAATTTGTCATTTAGTTTTATTGTCGATCGTATGACAAGGTAAGAACTAGTAGTGGAGTTATAGTAAGCACCTCAATTAATCACTTATATGTTCCATTGTTGCTATAGTGGTATATAGTAAATAGTTTATATTCTTATATTATTATTGTTACGTAATATTGAATAATTTGAGTTAGCAAGACAATACTAATATTGTAAATGCTTATATAGTTTACTTAGATTTTATTATTTTACATTAATTTACTATTATTATCATTCACGCATGTGCAAAAGTCACACATTGTACATAACTACTTTTAATAATGTAGTACGCTGGAATTTAAAAAAACTATTAGAATATCCATTGACAAACAAGCTAAACCGATGATTTTATTGTTTCAACAGAGGAAATGTGTTCCGATTTTTCTTGTTAATGACCAAATTAAATAATATTGTCTAGGTAAGGTATGTGAAAACTAAACATTTATTACTACATTTAATTATCATCCAATCACACTGTGAAGTAGTTGAATATTTTCTACTATTTTTGCCATCTGGTATCTGTATAATGGTAACGTGTTAACCACACGATTTACACCGAAACGGTGACAGTGTAATAATACCTGTCAATCGCTATACGCCTATACCACTCTTCAGAAATACAGTATTACGAAAATGAAATGTTTAATTAGTTTCTAGCATGGTTGTAGATAAATTTATACTAATATACTATAGATCTACCTATAACCGTGGTTTCTAGATTATCTAATATTAGTATTATCGGCTTTATTTTCTAAATTACTGACAAAAATAATGCTTCTACTTGTTGACTGCGGATGGGAATTTAATTTAGATTTTAGGGGACAAAGGTCCATTATCCATTCCAGTGGAGTATTTTCAACCTTTTTCTGGCGGGGGGGGGGGGGGGGCTAAAAATGTTGTTGATTCTAAAATTGTATATAGGTATTTGTTATTAGAAAATTGTTATTTATTTATTGTTGTATTATTTTAACGTATATGTATAAGCACCATCTATATTATGCTAGTTATATTATAATATAATGTCAAATTCAAATTTCAATATCTTGAGTTACTTAATCTCTTTTTGGGGTTTTGGGGAGGGGTCCAGGCCTCCCGTAAATACGCCACTGATCCCTTAACTATACAACTTATGCCAATGAGCATAGAATATACATTATACATAAAATACATAAATGCATTGAGTACGTAAAAATAACAAAACATAGAATAAAGTTTTTTCTATAAATAAAAATCTATATCTACCGGCTACCAACATTCTCGAACTGCATAAATTATGATTTCAATTTTACCTGATATTTATTATTAGATTTTTCAGTTTCAGTCAAATGCAATTAACATACGCAATCCTATTGTCATACAAAATTATATTTACAATTCATAATTTTAGATAGTGGATAAATAATAATGTTATGAATGTATTTAGATTTTAACTTAAAATTTTTTTACACGGCTTGTAAATATTTTATTTTATTACCCTAATAAAAAATATACTTAAAACTTAAAAAATGAAAATGCTGAAAAAATACGAATAATATATTTATAGAATAGGTTTATATTTAGGTACTGTGTACGTTTATATAAATACTAATTGCAGAAGCTTTCAGAAGTTTATACAGGATGTCTGTATAATTTGGTACGTATAAATAATCATTTAAGTAGAGTGAAACCAGAAGTATGTCAATGTCAAAATTGTATTATAAACAATACGGGTTTGCATGTTACAAGTTTCAACTGCTTACACGTGCAGATGGAGAACATACGTGCTAACAAATGTCTAGGTTACAAATTATAAAATATGTGGTCAAGATAAAAAATAAAAGTTCTTTTATAAAAAGCTTGTTTTTATTTTGAATTAAAATCATATTTTATATATTTATAGATACATATTATATACGAATATAGGTAACTGGTAAACTGGTGTATTTTTTATCATATTAGGAAAGTTACAAAGAATTTAAAATAAAAAAGCAAAATGATATCATAGTATTATAACTATAAGGTGTTTAAAATAAATAAAACGCTACCAACTTAATGCAAAATAGTTGAAATTATAGGTAGGTAATACAATACGCATGCATGCCACTATCTCATAATTTTCGTATTACCTACTCAACTTTTTTTCCCTATTTTACCCTTTTAAGTACTCTATAATCATTTATAAGTAACCTGTAACCTGATAAACCTTTTGACTGCCTATTATATAACATAAATATAAATAGTATAAAATAATAAATGTATACAGTATACATATATTGTATTATTGTTTGTATTTATAATACTATTTATTAATAGTCAATAAAGTATTATTAATGTATTGATGTGTTATCGTGTTAATAATATCGCACTACCAGTCTAGGCTAACGTAAAAAAAACCTTTAACTTAACGTAGGTAATCTGGTAGTAGCAATAAAATATTGATTATGATTCATATGTATTATGTCGAACGCTTTTTATTGTTTAGTATTTACATACGAGTCATACGACAAAACCAATAGATACCTACCGTATAATATTATCTTTTCAAACGAATTAATATTGTTAATACATACATGTCACACATACCTACATGAATTATGAATATTATAATTATAATGTATATGATATTATCGAAGTTCTATTTCCGTTACTTATGATATATCTATAGAAGGTTTAATTCAAATTTTGCACAGTCGTGCTTGTTCTCTAGATTTACGATACGAAACGACTTATTTGCAGATAACAACATTCACTGTTTTCGTGTAATGCAGCTAATCATCAGCAATGCCTTATTTATCGGCAGCCCGGGAGAACGGCCACAGCGATAGTCGACTGAAGTTGTTCAATGGTTTGTTTCGATGGAAAAAATCAGAAAAAGAAAAACAAAAGAGTAATTTAAATTTATAATTATTATATTCTTATTAAATTAATTAACTTGAACATTATATATTATACAGCCAGACAGCTAAGTAAAAGTGAAGTTTGTATAGCAACATCAATGTCCGTGAAAACAAGAAATTCGTGTCCTGCGTCTCCTGCTCTTTCTATGCCCAGATCTAGAGACGTTTTCCAAGACATGGAGGCACTTAAAATCTCTAGACACGACAATCCATATTTACAGGTAAAAAAAATAATTTTGATGATATAAAATATATTAAAAATATATTTAAGTGTTTAAAAATAATTGTTTTTTAAGCAAAGAAATATTGTGATGACACTGTATAAGTACTTAAAATATTTTCTTTTTGTTAAAATTTTAATATGATAGAAATTAATAGGGTTTTCTTATGAATTGGAATATATAAGTTTTTACTAGCATAAATATATGTATATAGTCATTTTACATTTTATATTAGTAGGTATATGAGTAGATGGTATATGGCTATACTCGTATGAGTATATATATTATACCTATATAAGTACATAGTAATGTGTTATACCTACATTTAAATATACATAATATATGTAAGTTCTATAATTCATGGATGGTTAAAATATACATTTGTGAGCAAAAAGTTTTGAAAAATTGACAAATTATAAATTATTATGCTCTACAGTTTACGTCAATCAGAATACATTTAAAATTTTTTATCGATAGTATTATTTAGTCTTGAACATTTCAATTTTCAAAACCTTGGAAAATAGTTTTTAAAAATTGACTGAAAATTGAAATATGTGTAAAAATAGTGATCAGACCTTTACGAAAAGACCAATTTATTTCTGTAAAATAATTATTGTAATACGAGTACATAATAATATCGTAGTCAGGCTTTTATTATAACGTATTTATTTTTCATAAGTTGTTATTACTTATAATAGCAGTTCGAAAATATTAAAATATGTGAGCACTATTAGACCTTAGTAATACAGTAAGTTGAATTACATTTTTCCGAAAAAGTTGCATTTGAAAATGTCATTACGCTTATAAATTATAATAATTCTTTATAAATACCTCAAAAAGAGTCAAAATATTTTGAACATTTTATCATATATAAAAAATTGTAAAATAAACATGAAAATTTTAAGTGTTTACGGTAATTTATTTCCGAGCACTACAAAAAAATAATTTTGTCAAAAACTGGCTGTCGTAAAAATTCCCGATTTTTCGTCCATATTGAAAAGAATGACTGGAAGTTTATTATTTTACCTCTCTAAAGCACCAACTAGATCCAATTTCCTGCCAGATATCAACCACTATGTTGGAAAACGGAGCATTTTTTAAACTACTTTCGTGTACATATTATAGCACAGCAGTGTATATCATAAAAAATAAAAAAAAGAACACATACTTTAATCGAAAAACTAATACGTTCATTGCTCAGTTCACAATCTAATCTTGCAGTTTAACAATATTATTCTTAGGAATTTGAATCTTTTTTGTTTTTCTATACAATTGACCTATACTATAATTTACTATAGGTACTCAATAATATTTTCAAAATATTCTGATTAATTTTAACTTTTTAGGCTATTTATAGGCTATTTTTTTTAACCTAACCTAACGATTCCTACTTATCGAACCGTTTTCTATGGTACGATGGTATTGATTTGTAAGTTAATAGAAGCTAACAGTATAATATATTATGTTATAAGTAAATCTATTCCATGATGTTCTTATTTGACAACAATAATTTTAAGAAAAAATTAAAAATGGTTATATAACTACCTATACTATATTCTTTATGTTATATCCTATTGTATGTACATTTTTTTATAAATAATTTTATATATTATCAATCGTTATTTGTTAAGTTACTAAAAAAAAATAATGCGATCTATAAGTTATAGATTACATTGTCAGGAAAACTTTAAACAAAAAAAAAGTATATCTAATAAAATATAAAATGTTCTTTTTTTAGAAAAAAATTTTAACAAGCAGAGAGAGCTTATTAGATGATAATATTGTTGTATCAGACACGGATGACATAGACATCATGGCTCAGGTATTTTAACAAATAAATAATAATTAATATTATCATTAGTAGCGAGTAAGACTGCAGATACAACACCGCAGTTAGGTTTTGAAGACCAATTTGATTTTTACTAAATTTGAATAAAGTAAAATTAAGTTGTCCCTCTCGATTCCTCAAGTTGGGTCAGTTTCTGTCTTAAAAAAATGTTCATATTGAATAACTATAATTATTTTTATTATGAAAGGAATATTTAGCGGATATGGGTCCAGGCGCTTTAATAGAGCTTCATCAACATATGGTAAGAAGTCCGCCTCCAACTACGTGGCCACGTATACCTATATTTAAATATGACGAAAAGGACCAAACCCAAGTACTTTAATACTTTCAAATGCTTATCAGTAGAGCTAGGATTTGAATGACCTAAGAAATGCACAAAAATGCAAAAATGATCTAAAAACTCTAAAAAATGTACTTAGATGAGCGAAATAAAAATTATTAATATTTATTTAATTTTTTATATTACAGAAAAAAGGTAAAAATTTGTTTTAAGAAGTAAATTAAACAAATATATTCAGATTTGAATTGACTTGTGCGAGTATCGTATGACTACTAAAGTTTCTATTATATACCTATTTGGTTTTGGGTTCGTTCAATGTTTAATCTTATCGTATAAATCGACAATTAACTATACTACTTCTTCGATTCATACCCACTTTGCCGAATACCAATTCGCCGAAAACTCAGTTTGCCAACAGTTATATTAGTTTTAAGTTATTTTTAATATTATTTTATTAATATAGTATCAATTTTCTCGATTCACCGACAGATGACAATAATTTTATTGAAAACGGGCATAAAAGTGATAATATTATGGTATGTTGTCGATATAAGTTGAAAGGTGCTATTTTTATAAGGGTAGTGTACTATTTGAGATTAACTATTATACAATACATATTAAAAAAACTTAAAATAAACAAAAATTAGTTTCAATAGGTACTCAAAATTATTATTTGTAAAAATGAGCTTAAAAATGCAAAAAATGCAAAATAAAAATTACACATTCTAAATTGTTATATCACGAAACAAATTTAATTTTTGGTTAGAACTGTAAAGTACTTGAAGAAAAAAAATGTAAAAGTCACCAAAATTCTAGCTCTACTTATCAGTAATAAATAATACACTTTTATTGTATCAACATGTACTTATTTTAGGATCTGTATGGCGATAGATGTAAAAGTCCACAAGGCCGGACGTTCCTCCACAGCTCATGTTCAAGTATATAATATCACGTTTAATTATTTATTTACTCACTCACTTACTTACTAACTTATACTTACTTATACTTAAACTTAAACTTATACTTATTTACTTACTCACTCACTCACTCACTCACTCACTCACTCACTCACTCACTCACTCACTCACTCACTCACTCACTCACTTACTTACTTACTTACTTACTTACTTACTTACTTACTTACTTACTTACTTACTTACAGATATATTAGTAAAAAGTAATGGATAATAACCTAATAGCATATTTTTTTGTATTTAAATTTATGTCACTTAGTGTAATGTGTAATTGAAAAATCGTGTATTCGAGTCTCTTCGACATATTTCTTTTAGTATTCCCTATTTGACTCATTACGCATTTACCATTAATTTGTTTCCAATTATTTCAATCATTAAAAAAATATGATCAACTAAAATAATTGACCCTTCAGGAATCAGTGAGTTTTGTCACTGTTTTTCGATCTTTCGGATCATAATAAAATCCTTTTCAGTATTTAGTCATGTTCCGAACTACTTGCTTACTAAATTGTATGCATAGGTCCACTAGAAATGTAAAATAAAATTTAGAACAAATCCACAATGTCTGAAATGTGCGTGCATATACGAGTATAATATTAGTTATAATAATTTCGGTTGGATCATTATTTTCTATACGGAATCAAAATTTAGGGCAGAATAGTCACATGTGGGTTGTTATAATATAATCCCTCCAAGACTTTAAGTCTCTAACACATGATATTCATTGGTCTGGTTTTCAACAGACTTAATTACAAAAAAAATTATATTCTTCTCTTTGTGACAATTTCTTCTATATCATACTCTATGCACTAATAATGTCATTCTAATCAAATTCGTTCTAAATAATTGTATTATTCTTCATATAGGTTTTAAATTTAACAACTATTATGGGTAATAAACTCACAACATAAATAATATGTTTGTCATTTATAACCTTTGTTTACTCTAATGTCTAATTGTTGACATAAACTTAAAAAATAAAGATATTAAAATATTTACAAGTGGTATTTTATAAAATATTTTGTAGGTGGTTCTTCGAGCTGTGTTGTTTCACCGCGTTATAACCATCAGTCTAGATGTCACCGATCGGCTAGTGAGTCTCGAGGTAAACACGTTTAGGCCTCACATATAATACCTCGTAAACATTGTACGATTGGAATATCTTCCATAACATTGGGTGTTTGTGTAAAGTTACACAAAATCATTTTTGAACCGGAGACCGGGAAAAAAGAAGCACATAAGTTTACTCATTCACCCACCATCACTTTATTTTAATTAATTGACATGTGTTTCCTACATAACGGGTGCATATTATGAGGAAAATCAAGAAATCTTTCAATATGTACGTATATGTCTGCAGTTTTCATGTATAAAAATAAAAATTATTGGGAAGTGAAATGATAATGTGCAATGAACAATTAAGTAGGTAGTAAATTATCATGTACCTATTACATAATATTATTTGTTCTATTGATTACGAATCAGTGTCCATATAGGTATTAATTATTTATCATTATTATTTTTATAAATATTTTTTTCTACATTAAATTATATTTTCTATTTAGAAAAATTTAATTTTTAACTAGTTTTTTTTCAAAACTATATTCTATATCTTGTTTATTATATGAAAATCTATTATTTTTACAATATCATAAATTTAATATAATTGTATAAATTAAAATGTATGGAATGTATTTTTTTAAGATCCTATAATAGACCGTATGTATTTTTAATTTGGTATAGAATCAACTTCAAACAACGCATAAAATCCTGAAATTGACTATCTATTCATTATTCGTAGAGTTTATATAAATAATTAAAAAGACACGAATCAAAAATTTATTTTACTATTTAGTAAGAATTATTTATCAAATACTCAGGTCATGTGATTTGCACTTTATCTCATTTAAAATTCAAATTATTTTTAATGAATTCCATTATATTTAAAAAATTTAATTAATGATATTAAAATCATTTAATCGATTAAAATTTGTTGAAAATTAAAAATATGCATAAATATTAATTATTAAATAACATTGTCTTTATACCTACTTAAAGAATAATTATTTTAATGTTACTCGTACGTCATTGCTTAATATATATGATGGCCTTAATACATTTTACAATTATTGTATAGTTAGGCGCAATATTATTGCAAGTTGCCATTGATTTAATATATTAAATATAATTCTGCGTATATTTAATCGACACGATGTTGTGTACATTCACGTAATATCTTAAGATTCATAACAATATGTATAATGTACATTGTATACTCATATCTATTATATAGTCAATAAGTTTTATATTTTGCTTAGCGGCCTACAATAATATTTTAGTAATTTTTTTTCCTAATATGACTTGAATATTACAATTTAAATAATTAAAACTGCTTAGAATATGACGACTTTCTAAGGAAAAACTTAAAAGTAATTTATGCTAAGTAAATGTTAAATATTATAAATATTTATTTACCATGTTGATATAAGTACGAGTATATCTAAAAACTATGTAGCTGCTACTGGTTGCTTAAAATAATAATGGCCTATATACCCAGATAGTTAACTTCTGCTACAGGTGAATTATTTACAATAAGATTACACAAAACTAACCATTCATAACTTTACTAAATAATAATAGAATAAATTGATTTTTACTAGATATTATATAGGTACTAATTTAATAAATATTCATTTATTTATCTAGTCAAGATATACATTTACTTTTGACCAACGATTTATTATACAGATGAGGTATGATTTTGTTTTTTAATTCACATATAATCGTATGTCATTAATGTTATATATCGGTAATGAGCTTTTAAAACCATACATTTTTCAAATTTAATTTGTGATTATAAACATAGTAATTCGTTTTAAAACATTTCATTATGAAAATGTTTATATACTGGATCTGATGAACTCGTTAACTTGTATACCTAAGTACCTACCTATATAAGTTTACCTTAAAAACCTGTTTTCTATAGTGTTTAATGTCTATACTCTGACTATAGATCAATTAGATAAAACTATTAAAGTATATAAGTTCTATATTATGATGAAGGAATAAGAGGGTTTTTATGTATGATTTTTATTTAATTTTATTATCTATATTCTACATAGCATAACTCGTTAATTCATTATGTAGTTAGTTTAGTAAATTCACAATGACAATATATTGTCATGATTCATATTGTAATTCGATCGTTTTTTATGCATATTTTGTAATTTTTATTTTTAAGGAAATAATTTATAATGAAAGTTAAGTTCATAAGTGCTATTAAATCCTGTTCGTATTCCCTGTTATGGACTGATGAGTTACTTTGATATTAAAAAATTAGGTAAAACGTAATTCTAATTCTTTTAATAATACATTTACTACTACAATTGCTGACTCTCAATAAAAATATTCAAATGTATAATGTGATGCATATGTACCCGTGTGCGCATGATTATAACATGATTCACAATATTAGTAAGTTTAATATTTTTTTTAGAGTTAAAGAAATGTTTAATATCAGTCAAAAAATTTTATTTTATTTTCCAAATTTTAGCTATAAATATTAATTATTGACTATTTGAAAGTACATACCTACCTATAATATATAAATAATACCTAATTATATACTATATAACCATATAGGTAGGTTTTCAATGATATATCTTATTACACATTTAAGTTTTTTTTCTTCGCTATCTGATTAGAATAAAATAATAAACATCTATATTATTATATTTGTGCACAATAATGATTATCATCAAATATGTATTTGTAACATTGGCATTTTAAGTTATAACTCATTTGAAACAGTTAGGTATATTAAATATTTTTATTTATGTATTCAATTTAGGTATAGTTTTTTTTAGGTATTATAGAATCGAAATTGTTAATTGGGCTGTTAGAAATTATATTCATTTTTGTTGGTGCTTTGTTTGTTAATTGTTTCAAAATGCTTTATTCAATTGCTGGTGCTTTTAAGTTTTGTTTTAATTTTATCCATGAACATGTGATCCAATTTTAATCAACAGGTTAATAAATAAATGTTGTTACACAATATATCATTGAAAAATGTATTAGTTATTTCACATATTTAATTACATGTTTAACATACCGACTTATAAATTGTAATAATTTAAACTATTCAGTAATAATGTATTAACATTTATGGAAAAATGTTTAACCGTTATAATATGTAATAGAAACACCAATTTTAAACTACCTACTAATAATATTTGTAATATTATTTTTATTTTATATTTATATAGTCTATAAAATATAATACTTAATAGTTAAAATATATTATTTGTTTTTTTTAAGGACATGTGGTTTTATGTTACCTACCTATCATTGTCTTAAACTGGTTTCTTAATGAAGTGTGAAGTATATTTAATTTGTTCCAACATCAACACATATAATATGACGTATTAAAAATATTATTATTGTGGTAATAAAATTACGAAAATAATTAAAAATGTATCGGATTGGCGGTTTATATTTATTTGTTTTCAATAGCACACCTATCAAATTGTATTCAATACCTGGGTGATTTTTTCAAATTTCAATACAAACGAATAAACAACAACAATATTATGTAGGTTACATCTATTATATTATATTTTGTAATAAATGTTAATATGTTGTAATATTATCTCACAAAATATGGTGTTGATAAAAGGAATAATGTAGGTTTTTGTTTTCCTTTATCTGATGTATTACCAGTTACCATATTAATGGCTATCTATGATAAGATGTATAATAGTAAAAATGTTGACCAAAATTAAATTTTTTGGAAATAAACAGTAAAATATAATTTGGTAATAAATTAATAATATTATGATATCTGCAAAAATTCTTCAAACTTAGCTTAAAAATCTTATCTTCCACAATTTATTTTTCAAGAAAACTGGTCAAAACATTTTAGAAAATTCAAAAGTATGAAAGAATTATGTAGGTTGTTGTTAAAATAATACAATTAGCTATATTAAAAGCATGAAGAATAAATATAGTATAATAATATCTTTATTCTTTATGATTAGAACTTATGTTGAGAAATTGTAGTTGAGTAAAGGCAGTATAGATGAGAATATATTATTTTTGATTTTAAATAACAACAAAATTAGAAAATCATTTGAGGATTTGTTAATTTATTGATAAAACACTCGTAAAAAATTAATTTGACTTTCCGGTAAATTTTTTTTGTCCAATTTAGGGAAACATAAGGGAAGTTTTGATTGAATGCGAACAGTTTTTATGAATTTCTATAAATCAAACTAATTTGAAAATCTTATGATTTTGTCAAAATTCTAAACTCAAACGCTCATAAAAAATTATTATGGATTTCTTTTTTAATTTTCTCTAACAACAACTTATATGAGGAATCTTGTATATATTTGCAAGTTTTTTTACTAAGCAAAAATTGTTTTATTTACATCAATTTAAAAAAAAACTAATAATCGAAAATTTCATATGCATTGAAACTGTTCAACACGAGTCAAAATATTTTGAAAATTGTATGGTGCATAGTAAATGTGAATATAAACATTCAATGAAAATTGCATGTACTTATACCGTTATCTTTTTTAGAGTTATACCAAAAACCAAAATCAATTTTGTCGAAAATCAATTTGTCTTCGTTATTTGTTTGTTTGGTGCCCTTTAGATTTTTTTTGGAATTCATAAATATTCCGTATTAGTTGTTTTACATAAATATCTGTTTGAATTAGTTTTATAATATCGAGCCACATAAATTTATTTGGTTTTTCTTTATGAGGATATGGGCTACATATTATAATATTTGAAGGGAAGTAGACATAATTCAAGTCCAAAAAATGTGTGGAGGAAAGTGAAGTCTAATATTTTTTATTTTGGAAGAAAATGGATCCATTCGTCCTACATGTTTTTATTTATTTGCATATGGTTATAAGTGTTATAACGTATTTACTATTAAATAAATAAAATTAGTGCTTCTACATAAAAAAAAATATGTTTATACATATATTTAAGTGATACATACATTTCCTTTTTCATATTGTACTGTAATAGTGTAATATTTTAATAATATGGGAGACTTATAGATCATTATTTATGATATATTGCACTATTGCATAACAATGGTATCTCTAAGAGGTTACAAATATTTTAAACAAATTCAATTGTTATAAAAATTAATACAGACATTTTTTATGAATTTAAAAATGATTTTCAATGAAATATAGAGATCAAAATAATGTTAACTGATTTCGGAATGACAAAGTAATATTATATATAGGTATACATATTGCATAAATATTAAATACTACATGCCGTACATATATTATGATACCTGTCTTACTTACATTGCATATTATTCTTTTTAAATTTACAAATATATCCATATTTTAATTTATAATGATACAAAATATCCATTATATTTATTCAGATCGATTTTTTGAATAATATATTGGTAACATATTACTGTCATCATTTTATTGTTGTACATTTACCGAGTAGATATTTATATTTAAATTAATGAATTATTTATTTCCGAAAACTATACAGGGTGTAACAGAAAAAAATGATATATGAAATAGATTTTCTGGTTTTGTTATAATAAATACTTTAGAAAATATTTATGTATAATTTATATACACTTGAGCAGTTGAGCTATATTTATAGCACAACATTTTTTTATATTTTATATTGAACTTTAAATTTTATTTTATTTTTCTTGGAAAAATTCAAAACAGCCCATTTTTAAATCTATTTTTTAGAAAAATGTTGAATGTAAAAATATTTATTTAAATCTAGTAGTTTATATTTCATAATTTTTTTTAATTTCATTATTTTTGTGGAATATAAGACACTCATGTCTCATTAATTTGAAAAGTAATAACTTTAAAGAAATATTATTTTTGGGGATTTTTCAATGTAATTATTTATTAAATCTTAAATTATTTATTATCCTTATAATTTATTTATTTATATTTTTATTCTTTTAAATAGTTTCAATTTTTGATTTTTATGTAACAACCTATTATATATGTTTTAGTATTTAGAAATGTGTATAAAACAATTTTATTTATGCATGGTCACGTACAATTTTATTTTTTATTTATCCATTTTTGTTTTAATTAATGCTCTATAAAGTTACAACTCTTTTAGAGGTGTTATACTGTTATAAGAATGTATCGAAAGTAAAAAAAACCATTACTCAAAAATAAATCATATTTCGATAACCATACAACCTTCAAAAAGAAAAATATTTAGATTTTAACATATACCTGCTTAATTAAAAATGCTCATATAAAATATTTGAAAAAAGATAATAGTTACTGAATATAAAAGGTTCCATAGGATAATGCATCAGCATACAGGTACCTGTAATAAACGTTTTTAGTGTTTTTACCATCAAATTGCAACAAATTATCTACATTTGCTTTTTTGAATTTTGCTAAAAAAAAATTTAATTAAATAAAAAATTTTTTATTTTAATTATTAAAAAATGTATTAATACATTAATGCATAAATGTAGCTCTTATGTCGATAAATTAAGTATAAAAAATATAAAAATGATTAGAACAAAAGTTATTTCATTCACCAGTTCTCTGCTACACTCTGTATATTTGTGTATTATGTCTATAATGTAGATATACTAGTTGTTATACACATACATTTAGTAATGTATAAAGGTTTAACACCCTCAGTTTTTTGGCCTTGTTTGCCAAATTCTCGTCAGAATTTATTTTCGATTGTTTGACGGATAACATATTATATTTTACTTATATTCCCAACTGCAATTTAAATCTTGTAAATTGTAATTTATAAAGATATGTGTTAAAGCCAACCAAGTGTAACTATATAGATATTCTAAGATGTTTTAATGATTGTAAATGTATGAGTGGAGTTCTAACAAAAGCTAAAATGTAATAAATATAAAAATTTGTTGCTCTTCTAAATATGCAAAATTTGTTTTTATAGGATGTTTAATTTTATATAATGTATTTTCGTATGTGACTAACACAATTTTAGTTCTAGACATGTATATATTTACTTTATTAAGTATTAACCTTACTTAATTTTTGAGCTAAAATTTTTTTATGAAGGCTAATAAAAAAAAAAGTATTAACCTACCTGTAGCGGCGTATCGCGTACGTCGTATATTTAGACACAATGGGATAGCCTGTATAAAATGTTTTTGGGTTAGGTGTAACCGTATAGTATCTCAAAAGTTAAATGTTAAAACTAAAAAAAAAGATAGTTAAAATACTTATAAATATATATAATTAATATATATTATATACTGCAGGGTTAGGTTCACCATAAGCATGCTCACACCCTTTTTTTCTTTGATAATGCAGTTATTCAAAATCTGATTTTTGGAATCTTCAAAAGACCATACTTTCAAATGTTTTGAGGATTTGATTAAAAAACACAGTCTTATATAAGAAGATAAGACTGTGATAATAATTAATAAGTCACAATTGTATTGGATTAATTAATTATGAAAAAACAGGTTACAACATAATATTCAGTGGTGTATCCAAGGCCGTACCTGGGGGGGTTCAACTCCCTCCCCCCCCCCCCGAAATATTTTAGTTATATTATGTTATGGTAAAATAACTCTTTCAGTCTAGAATACAGCTGTATGGTCGTTATCTTACGCCCTCCCTCCGAAATTAATTTCTAGCTACGGCCCTTAGTGTATCCATGATTATGAATAAATTAAACTAAGTTTCTTATCGGTTCTTGTACATAAATAATACTTTTATTAGGGTGAAAAGGCAATTACTAGGGAGCAGGGGGGTTAAACACCTGAATACGCCTCTAAATTATAATATAGGTACTAGCTGATCCCGTGCACTTTGTTGCCCGTTAAAAATTCGGATTTTTTTCAATAAATTCCAACTCTATATATGAGACTCGATGGTGATAATGCGTGCAGTATATTATGCCTATACCTGCTGCGTATTATTGAAATAATATATGTTTTATATTTATTTTGATTGCGGACACACCGATGAGCGGCTATAAGTGCAACTCAGCCACCTTGGTAGGCAATATGTGAAAATTCAATTGCATATGCATCCTTATATCTGATCTGACCGATGAACCACTACAGGCAACCAATAAACAAAAAAAAATAACCATTTCTACTAAATATATTTATATTTCACCCATAACCAATAGCAACCGTATATAAACAAATATATTCTTCGTAAATCTTAAAATCTCTGTTTGAGCAACTTCCCGGGTCGGACCTATCGGGTCGAATTGTGAATCTAAACCATCCAGGATTGTGCCTTGTTAGATTAGTAAATATAGTAAAATAAAATAAAATTGTACTCATGCGGTTTTTCTGGTAACGCCAACAACGGAAAATGGAAAATTAAGTCCTAATAATCGAATACTCATATTTTATGTAGATAAAATCTAAATTTTATCTCTTCTATCGACTGTTGCATTCTATGTAAAGAGAGGGTATTTACGGCTTTAAATAAAATTATCACTTTACAAAATTTAAACTTTATACTTTATACAGTGAAACATAATATTAATACCTATAATATTCAATACACGACATATTTCTCCATGTTGATTCATTTTTTTGGTGTTGGCTGGGGGACCCATTTTAACGATTAATTATGTCATATGGACAATTTTATAAGCTAAAGCTTTCTGTAGCTTTTTTAATAAAACATTCTGGAACGTAAAAAATAAACCATCCAAAAAATTAAAAAAAAAAAATTTTTAATAAAGGCTTTTTTCAAAAAATTTTTAGTAAAAACCTTCTGCTGGCAATCACGAACAATTAAAAAAAAAATTGAGCCAAATCGGCCCAGCCGTTCCCAATTGTTGAATTGTTATACATTTTTGGCTCCATTTATATATATATATATAGATTATTATATTATAATCAGTGTTAGGATTTATCTAGATAATTATTTTTTTATCTTTTATCTTATCTAGATAAATAAATATAAGTTATCTATTATATTAATTATTATATTTATTGAGAAATAAAAATAAACCGGCCGTTTATTATAGCTATACGTTCATCTGAAATTTATGTTGATAATAAATAATATATAATTCACATTGACATACTGATATAGATATTCTGATATTCATGATAATTGATAAGTCTGACAAGCAAATACGTGAGATTCTATTTATATATTTTTTACTGTGAGTCTATAGACTATGAACTATCTGTAAATCAATTGTAATATGCTCATGATGTTTAGAAATAATAAATATTTATAATATTATATTTATATTTATATTTTTTTTATATTTATATTTTCAATATCGACGAAAGTAAACATATTATACAAATACAAGCATTCACTTACATGACAGTACAAGTATTTTTTAAATTAGTTATTTTAATTTTAGATTATAATTATCCGTAATATCTAGATGAAATATTTTTATAGTCCGATAACGTCAATATTCGTACCAATCGATCCGGGTACATGTCCCCGATAATATCCATTGATGCTAACCTCACGCCTTTAGTTATTTTATGGATAATATTAGTTAATGAACACAATTTTTCGTGAAATAATTATAATATTTAATGTAGGTAGGTTTAACAAATCTAAAGAAAGGTTGCGGAGAATAATACTACCAAGCTAAATGCGGCGAACGACGACGGGGATGATGAGGTCCGCCAGTCGAGTACCCAACTCTAACGTCTCCTTGGAAGTCATCCTGATCTCACTCGCGTTAAACTGGTTATTGTTTTGAGCATTTGGCTCCAAACGGCAATCGCAGACTGTGACGTACAGTAAAAGACCCTTATTTTTCGTATAAAAGACCAGACCTAAATACTAAATACTAACCTATGTTACCGTTTATGCGGAAAATGCCGGTCTTTTACTGTACGTCACAGTCTGCGATTGCCGTTCGGAGCCGAATGCCCAAAACAATAACCAGGTAGACGCGAGTGAGATTAGGATAACGGCCAAGGACACGTTGGAGTTGGGTACTCGACTGTCCGACCCGTCGTCACACGACCGGCGGACCTCATCATCCCGGTCGTTGTTTGCCGCATTTAACTCGGTATTATTATTTTCCGCAACCTTCCGTTTATGACGGCCACCCACAGTTGCGTCGATGGTGGCCGCCTTGGCTGCGGCTCGGACGACGCGCGTCGCCCCGGCCAGCACGGGAAACCATCTGTTGCGGTCTGCCAACAACGGTACCACCACGCTGTCCAACCAACGGTGCATGTCTGCCCGGAACTGCTGAGGCGCGGACGACGTGCAACCGACAGCCAACCGGTAGTACCTGACGAGCAACGGACGCCGGTCGTCGGCCGTCAGCCACGGCCTGTCAACGGCGAACAGCCGCTTGCCAACGACGAACGGGAACGCCAGCGACCCCGGATTCGAGTTGTCGTCGAACACCGGTAACGGTACGGCGGTAAATTCGCTGTCCGATGGTACGACGTACATCTGTAGGGCCGCACACGGGTTTTCCGTCTCCTCGAAAATGGGATGGTCTGTGTCGTCGTTTTCAGTGGTGGTGACAGCCGTGCTCCGCTGTCCTGCGTCTACGGGCATCATCCAACCACGACCGTCGGTATCCAAAATGAACCTTTGCCAAAAGACGAACGTTTGTTAAAGCAACATAATAAAGTGAAAAGTGAAAAGGTTGATTTTGGGCGAAACGGGCCGCGCCCCACTTTTCACTTTTCACTTTATTATGTTGCTTTAACAAACGTTCGTCTTTTGGCGGGCGCGGCCCGTTTCGCCCAAAATCAACCTTTCCCGTTTCGCCCAGATACCCGTTTCGACCAAAGCCATTTTAGTCGTTTTCAAATTAAGTTGGCAATGATTTTTAAATAATATAGTATTTTAGTATACCATATAATATTATGTATTATTATTAACTAATAACTATTTTTTTTTTTTTTAGAAGAAAATATACAATCTATATCTTAGACATAATAAGTATATGTGCGATAAGGGAAACAAAGAATAGGGTGATATACATAAATTTGAGGAAAGAAGCCACCCACTGATGACACTTTCGTCTAGGTTTAATCATATGCGATTTAGTTATATGTTAGTATTTATATTATATATTAAATATAATATATTTAGTTATATCTTATTATTATTAGTTAAATAAAAAATCTAAACTAATAACTTAAACTAATAATTTAAAAAAAAAAAAAGTATTTCACAATATAATAATATATTACTTACTATTTTCTACTAAAATTAAGTTATATTCAATAATCAGTTATTTATTTTTTTACATACAATACATGCATTTTCCCAATTAAAATTAATATTTAGTATAATTATTTAAAAATATATTTTTAGAGTTAAAAATTATAATACAAATTACCAGTTTTTATTTTTGTAGTCATTGCCAAAGTTTTTAAAAAATACATACTCAATATTATACATTTATACAAATATTATTGTCTACTAAAAACTATTTAACAAAAAAAGCATTACACAATATAATATATTATTATTTTTTATAAAAATTAAGTTAAGTTATTAAAATCCATTTACAAAAACTATTATTTTTTAAAATGTCTACACATGCTTTTTACAAATTCGTACCTAGTAATTTCGCCAGATCTATATAAAAGTATACGTTTTTCGTTGTATTCTTGTCTTTCCTTCGTCTTTCTGTCTTTTGTTTTTTAAGTAATTTCAAAACTATTCATTTTGATATACGTTTCAGTCTGGATCTCATTGCGTATAATATTTAACCAACTTATGATTGATGGAGAGTTAGAATAAAAGTTTTTATTGAAATATGAATGAAACGATTCACACGCATTTGTTGTGAGCTGGATGCTCGCTGAATTGCATGCCCATAATGTTGGATTAAAAACACTGTCCTCAGAAATATAATTTTCTACTAAATAATCGCAAAATTTAACCAATTTTTCGTCAGTTGGACATTCAGCCATTAAATCTTGAGTAAAGCAATCGGATACTTGATTTGGTACTAAAAATATTAAGCCAAAAGTATGTTGAATCCATTTACCTATACTCGTATTATTTTGATATTCAGTTGCTAAACCATATTTTTAAACGTTCCTATACCACGCTTGCGTCAGATGAAAACAGCAACCATTTATTTGCGATGAAGGCCAAACTTCATTGACTGCTAAATGAATTGCTTTTTCAAAGTCAATAGTAACAACTTTTGGTATAAAAACTAGTCCTAATTCTTTGCATTTATTTTGTATTGATTTAAACGTATACACATATGTTTCATATTTTTTGTCCGGAAGTAAAATAAATATTAATGGAATGTAATGGCCGTTTTTAAAACCATGTATATGTTACGGGCAAAGTGGAAAATTCGGGCAATGTATACAATGTCCGGGCATTGTACACAGTGACCGGGCATTGTATACAATGTCCGAGGTATATTGGGCAATGTAAATTGTGAAGTATTTATACAAATAATCTGCATAATATTATTTTACCTAATCAATGATATTATATACTAATAATTATTATACTCGTTTATATGGTTATTTATATATGAGTATTATAATTTTTTTTTAATCAATTAAATTTTAAATGTATTTAAAGGTAATGCAATAAAATATTATGTGCATAATGTTCAGTTATATGATATTATACATGAAGTTCATTTGTCAATTGGACATGGAGGTAGAAATAGAATGGAACACGAGATTAATAAAAAGTAAAAAAATATAACTAGAGATGTAATAATG